TGATTTATTAATTTATAATTAATATATCACATATAAGTGTTAGAAAATGATAAAAAGTCGACTATTTTTGTCCTGTTTTAATTTTTTCTGACAAAAATATATTCTATCATTACCAAGTGTTGTACGTTGGTAGTGCCCCAACGTAGACACAAAAGTTTTACACAAATTAATTAATGTTTATATATATTGGCGACGAGTTCGTCGTTCAAGCTCTTCTCGAGTCCTCCCGTTGGATAAACTGATCAGCCCCAATCCCTCAAATTAGTGAACTACTAAAGGGGTAGAATTTAGACCCGTCAGCACAGTCTAGCTCAAAAGTAGCAGACTGAAGGGTGGCTCCTTGTCAGCCATCAGTTCAACTACCTTTTTACTATACCCACTAAAGGACGGTTAAGCCCAAAAACTAGTCAGCTCGTACACTAATTATTAAGATTGACTAAAAGACCAGTAGTCCAACCTTGACTCTAGCCGCACACACACACACAATTCTAAAAGCACGGTGATTATAAAATATTTGCGTTAAGTCCAGGTTTTTAAAATAGCTATTTTATTTAAGAAACGTATTAAACACAAAGTCAAAAAGGTAATATCAAAATGTTACACAAAACAAAATTAAATCGTACAAAGACACTCGCGTCTAACTTCCTGATACATAATGTCGTAACACAGGAAAGAAAAAATGGGTAAAATGATAAATGAGTGAAAGTGTAAATGTGTAACTGTGTGTACGAAGATGAATATGAGGAGGTGGTGCCTGCTGTCTAGGTATTCACGTGCGTGTTGTCGTACAGCAGTCACCGTGCTCGGCTGACACTCCGGGTTAGCTGTGGGTGTCGAAGGGCTGTTGTTATAGGAAGGGAGAATAAGAGTAACACCTAGGTATGAGGTGCAGACGAAGTGCAAGACACAAATACTGGGCGTACCAGATAAGGAGTATAACAAAGCACGAGGTGCAGACGAAGTGCAAGACACAAGTACTTTAGTTATTAGGAGAGGATAATGAAGTACGAGGTGCAGACGAATTGCAAGACAATAGTACTTCAGAGAGAGAACGGGGTAGCCGAGTATAAGGTGCAGACGAAGTGCAAGACACAAGTACTCTGAAATGTCGAGGAAAAGAGTATATAGGTTAGAAAAGGAATAAACAAAGACTTTACTTTAAACAGTAAGCCGGACAGCGACAAGCGAGTACTGAGACTGATGAATGACACAAGGCACTGGAGTCGACTGACGACGATGGTCAGGTCTATTGGGTTTTTATAATAATTACACTTATTGCCGATTTGGCAATAAATATTATTTGTTAATTCATCAGTCTCAGGCAGCGGATGTGCTGTCTGTATTTTATTAAAATAATTCTCACGATTATGAAAACGTGACACCATCACAATAACTTGACGATTTTTCGACAAAACGTCCAGTCTCGTCCAGCCCCCCTATACTTTTCGTGTTTCCCTTTTATATTCATTTTCCCACCTTTATTAATTTGCTTACCCTGCATTTCCCTTTTATATGGAATTATTATGTTGCTTAAGAGTTCAAAAATTGCTTACTACTATTGTAAAGCTTATAATATACTAAAATCGACGTAACTCAGTACTTCCTCAGCTATTTACTACACAAGGTTTATAATTTGTAGCACTTACATATTATTTTTTTAGGTTTTAGGGATAGTTAAGTATTAAATTTGTTTCAGATAACCACTGAGTTTAAATGTCTGTTAATGTAAAGAGATATTTTTGTGATCAGTTAGTAAAAATTGTTGATACTTTGATTGTATTTGAAAACTTAAGAAGACATAAAATTTACAAGTTTTATGAAGCCGTAGAAATGTTCAACTTTTAAAGAAGCCTTAGAAATATTCAAACTTTAAAGAAGCCATAGTAATGCTCAATTTTTAAAGAAGCCATAGAAATGTTCAACTTTTAAAGAAGCCTTAGAAATATTCAAACTTTAATGAAGCCATAGTAATGCTCAATTTTTAAAGAAGCCATAGAAATGCTCAACTTTTAAAGAAGCCATAGTAATGCTCAACTTTTAAAGAAGTCATAGAAATGTTTTTATCTTTAAGAAGCCATTAAAGTATTAAATAGGTTAAATATTTCTTCATTTCTTACACTTAATATTATTACGAAGTAGTAGACATATTAATTAATTTATTAGAAATGCTGCAGAATTTCAAGATATTTGTTTACATTACTAAACTAAGAATTTTTTAATTTTTGACAGCGATTTGTAATCTTTGACTAGATTAAATTCAGGTTCTTTTAGTGTATTGATCAGCAAAATTAGTCTAGTGAGAATAAGGAATTTTAAAGTTAGATTCAAAAGAAAACGCTCATCATGGTAAACTTTGCACCAAAGTTAAACGGTCAACAAATATATCAAGAATTTATTTACTGTCATTTAATTTCTCATTTTGCTCAAGAATACCTATTTTCTTATAAATTTACAGTAAATAGTAATAATACAATTTCCTGGCTGCATATTAATCTTAATAATACTATTTTACTAAAGAAATATTGAAAATTTTTATTACTTTAAAATTGATTTAAAAACTGTTATTAGCTGAGACAGAAACATAAACCAAAATATCAATAAATTGAAAAATAGAAACCCTACCAAAACCGAAATCCAAACGTAACCCAAAAAAAAAATTTCTATTTAAAAATGTAAATTTCAAACTTGAGGTTGAGATAAAAGTTATGGTAACAAATTTAACTTTTTTTATTGTAAAGTTTAAAAAAAATCAACTTTAAAATAGGTTAAAATTGATATTTTGCACTGATTATTATAAATCAAAATCTGTAATCATTTAAAAACATTTTTTTTGTGGTTTTAATTATTTTTTTATCGTAATAAATCATTTTAAAAGAAATATTAATGATTTCTATGTAACTCTTGGTTGGGTTGCTGGTTTTTTTTCTATAGTAATGGATAAAATTACTAGAGAAATACAAGGAGAAGTGTCGTGGTGCAGGTTGCTCGCTGACAATATAATGTTAATAGGCGATTATGTCTTGAAGAAAAGGAATTAAGAATGAGTCGGTGTAAGACAGAGTATATAGAGAACAAGTTTGACAAAGGAGAACACGAAGTAGAGGAAATGAGTAAATTAGTAACAATAGACGAGGACGTGATAGGAGAGATGGAAAGTTTTAAGTATTTAGGATCAGTTGTGCAAAAAAACGATGGTGTTGACGAAGATGTAAGACATTGGTTTAAGTGCGTGTAGGTGAAGTGGAGAGAAACATATAGAGTGTTATGCGATAAGAGAATTCCAATGAGGCTGAAAGGTAAGTTCTATAGAACTGTAGTGAGACTAACTATGATGCATGGTTCAGAATGTTGGTCCGTTGACAAGAGAATAGAGCAGAGTAACAGAGATGAAAATGCTTAAATGGATGAGTGGAGTAACTAGAGAAGATAGAATAAGGAACGAACGTGTAAGTGGGAGTATAGGTGTAGCGTCAATTGTGGATAAAATGAGAGAAAGTAGATTTAGATGGTTTAGTCATGTTATGAGGAGAGGAATCGGAAGCTGTAAGAACAGTTATGGAAATGAATGTTGAAGAAGAGGTAGAGGAAGACTAAAAAAGAGATGAAGGGATGTAATTGAATGCGATTTGAGGTCAGATGAGTGTGCGTTAACGATGTTTATAATGTTAATAATGTGAAAGTTTAGGATAAGGGATGCTGACTCAAGTAATTGTGATAAAGACGAAGAAAAAGAAGAATTATTATAATAAGTCATTTTCTAAGAAAATATTCAAATTTAAATTTTGATCTCGTGTTGTTACGTATTAATATTATCGGACTTGTTTGTAATAATTTAATTTCTTATTTAAATAAAATGGTGTTGGACCTCGTAAGAATATGAACATTGTTGGTCAAAAAAGTATTGAACAATTCAACCAACAAAGCTGAAAAATATCCTAACTACGTGACACTATAGTTTAAAATTTTTGTTGAATTAAACACCATTTTGTTAAAATGGTCTAATAAGCTATCTGCATAGCATTTTAATAACTATTTTTTTTTTTTTTGAAGTGAAACTTCTTTATAGAGGGTCCGAAAAAATAAAAAAAGTTATCGAGCGTTACGGTTGGTTCTAAAGTATATTTTATATTATAATTTAGCACTGCATTTTTGAAAATTAAAACAATTTTATTTAAAATGTATTAAATTAATTAATTTTAAATAATTTTGATTTTGCATAAAAAAATTTTAAAGAACCACAATAGATGCAATTTTCATGCGATGTATTCAGAACGAAAGAAGTCAAACTTCATCCGCGCGTACTCGTAACACACTCTGTTTTTTTTAATTTTCTAAATATTTAATTTTAATGTATAAATACTATGATACAAATATGTTAAAAGACCTAATGTACTCAATTGTATACATAAAAAAAAAAAAATGCATAAAAAATTAATATTTATAAACTTTTATTGAGCTTTTAAAAATAATTTAACAAATTTAATATCCAATTATATGATAATAAACTATATACAATATGCATTTTATTTAGCTTATTTATACTCATATAAAGATTAAAAATGGAACTATTACAGAAAAAAGTATAAAGATTATAAGAAAGTAAGTTTTAGTGTCAATAATTATTACATTAATTTATAACAAATAAAAATTTCATTGATTAAAATAAATAATTTAATAAAAAGGTGAATATAATTTTATAAATATTTAAGATAATTCATCATTAACATTTTGACTTAGACTTTTTAATAATTATAAATAAAACTACACATAAAATTACTAAAACTAATAGAAATAGAAATCTTCACATTGAATAAAAAATAACAACTTCCGAGTTTATATTTTAAATAATCATATTTCTACTAAATCCCCCCCCTAAAAAAAAAATTATATACTACATAAAAAAAATATAATATTATAAACATAAATTTTCATACAAATACAACTTATATATCACAGATAATTTATGTTTAGCTAGTATTCTAAACAGAAAAATAAACCTTTTATCTATGTTTATTTAATATTTAAATAACATTTTGATCTTTTTTATTGAAACTTGTGTTGAGTAGAATTATAAACAATGGTTAATAATTATTAAGTTAATAAAAGTTAAAATCCTATTTGTTTTCAATAATATTCGTCTATATCTATATACAAATACATATAAATTTTTTAAGTTGTCACAGTGGTCAAAGTTTTTAACTTCAATAAATTAATAGGATATATAAATTTGTTTTAGAAACATTTTACATAAATTATTCATATTTAGTTCATACATAATAAAGAAAAATATTATTATGTTAATACTTATAGTTCAATATTTGTTCGAAAAATTGATTATTCCAAATGATCAAGTAAACAATATAATCACAAACAAATTATTTAGGTATAATAATTAAAAAAAATAGTGTAAAATATTAAGGGAACACATAAAATAAAAGTACTTAACATACTTAGAAATATAAATATTATGTGCACTTAAAATAGTTTCTATTTATTATATTTATACATTAAATTGAAACATTGATGGAGCTGTTCTTTTTAAAATAAAAGGTTTGAATGGATATTTAGAACATTGTATTATATCTGATCTTAACACTGGTGGCCCACCAGGGCGCTCAATAATACTATCTCTTTTTAAAATATCTGTTGGTCTTACTTGAAGTTCAATAACTTTTTTATTAGGACCATTTGATGATGTTTGTTTGGTTATATTCACTTTTTGTGAAATTTCAAATTTTGGTACATCTACAATTAGTTTTTTTGGAGTTAGGATTTGTTCAATTTGAGATCTTCTAGGTGGTAGAGGTGGAGCCATCCTTCTTGGTGGTATTGGAGGTTTGAAACTAGTATCAAGCTTAGTATGTCGTGGTGGTACAGGTGGTACATCATTAAAATGTTTACTGTTAGTAAATGATATTGGTGCAAATACAGAATCATCCGCTTCTCTTTTATCCATTTGAATAACTAAAGAGCTTGATGAGCTTAATTTTCGTCTACCCTGAACATCCAAATCTTTAGAAGATGCAGAAGGAATACGTATTTTAGTTTTTAACCCTGGTGATTTCAGATTTAATTCAGGCCATTTACGCGGATATTTTGGTAATTGTTTGCAATTTCTAGGTTCAATTTCTAAAGATTTTTCATACAAATAATTACTAATATCAGTATCTTTAGTATCATTAAATGGATTTAAGTTTTCCAAGAAATTCTTTATTTTAGGTTCAACATTTAAACAATAAGGTTGATTTTGGTATTGTTGAATTTCAGCAATAATTTCAGCAACTTTTCGCCGTTTATTAAAATTAATTAAATTAGGACTATTAGTTAAGCAATCTGGGTTACCTTCTTCAATATGTAAAATATTTGTAAGGTACATACCAATAAAAGGAACACATGGTGGATTAATACTTCTTAATTTGTCTTGGTATTTCCTAAAATGATTGTTACTCAATTCACGAGCTTCTTCTAAAGCTTTATCAAGCCTAGCATTAACAGCTTGGAATGTAATCTTAAGACGAAATACTGCAGCTGAACTCATGGCTGATAAAACTCCCAAAACTCCATTAAAGTTATTTAACTCATCTAAAGCCATCATCACTTCAATGAATCGTGAAACAATAGCCACTCTTTCTTCAAAATTTTCACATTCAACTACAGCTTTTTCAATCCATCGACTGAAATTTGTTGTACGCTTTATTAATCTTAGTAAATGAGGTGAATTAAGTTCTTTATCTTTTTTTGTCCACACCGAACCCACCAATTCAGATGGTTTTACAGCCCTATAATTTTCTGATTCTATAAGAGTTAATTGTCTAGCAAACTCAATTGGGTGAACATATAAAATATTGAATTCTTCATTAACATTAAATTCCATGTGTACTTCAACTGGAGGCGGAGGAGAATTAAAAGCAAATGTTATTTCTTTTTGTGATTCGGTATTTTTTCTTTGTAGAATTTTAACAACAGAGTCGGCCCATTTTTTCATTGATTTCCCATTAATAGAATCTAAAAAAATATGTAGCTTATCTAGCAAACTGGGATCTCTTTGATAATCATAATAGTGATAGTCTACCCAATGTCTTATTACATTAAGTACCCTAAATTGGACAGGAACCAAGTATTCTTTTTTGAATCTTTTGCTTTCATCTCTTAAACTTATTGTGTCCATTTTAATACCAAATGGTTCAGGTATATTATATCTCTCAATAAGAAGATCTAAGAGTTCATGAGGAGAACAAAAACTTCGATATGTTGTTAGAAAAGTTCGTACAAACTTTGGATCAGCATAAATATGATATGTCAGTCGTTCCACAAGTTTTACAAGAGTAGCGCCTTTTATAAGAGGTACACCATTATTTTCTTTTTCTTCAAAAATTATATTAGATCGTGAGTCTGGCTCAACAAACCTATATTCATCAATTGATGGTAGGCGTAAAGGAAATTTTTTATCTTCATCAAGTAAAATACTATTTAAAGTTCTATCTAACATACTTTTTGTATTAAGCATAACTAAATCAGCCATCCAATTGGCTTTATCTTGAAAACTGCTAGCTACTAAAATTATGGGAGGTTGTAAACGAGGTGCTATTTCAAAAGAATGTTTTGTGTCTTCAGTGTCTTCTCTGTCAATAATTTCTACCTTCCGGATAAAAAACTTTTCTTTCAATTTAAACTCAGACATACTACCAACAAGTTGTGAGCTAACTGATACTGATGTTCTTCTATTATTAGACTTACACAAAATAAGAACTCCATCAAATAAAATTGCCTTTCTTTCTGAACAACGTTTTCCACCACTTGAAACCTTGATAAGTACTCCTTCACGAATAAATTCTGTACAACACTGTCCCATATCTTTACCATCCCAACCATCTATGGCTTTTTGCATTTCATTCAACTTTTCAATAGCTAATAACCGTCTAGGTGTTGCATTAATTTTAAGTCCAAATTCTTTGACATTATCAGGTAAATTTACTTTGTTTGCAGCAGCTGTCATCTGTAACTGTAAAGGTTTCAACATACCTTCAACTTGCTCTAAGCATTCCTTATCTAACTGCGATGGAGAAAGTTGATGTAATATCTTGATGTATTCAAAATATAGAATACAATGCCATAAAGGTAAAAGTAGTAACTTAGGAAAATAATATTTCACTGCTTCTTTAAAGCCATAACCAGCAGATTGTAGTAAATTTGAAACTTCTGGTTTTCCAATTAAATTCCAAAATACACTACGACACTGACTTTTAACTATATCATTGGCATAGCGAGCAAATACATCAAACTCTGCTGCTTCTGCTAACTCTTCAATACAACAACCAACAGTAGCCGATTTATCTTCAGCAATTTCTAATATATCTTCAATAGAGCTTAAAAATAATCCTGTGGCTTTACATATATCAGTAATGTTATTAAACATGCTATCTAACTCTAGACTACTGCCAGATGGTATTATGCGATCAATCTCTTCTTTAAATATTTTTAAAATTAAATGTAAATCCCTTATATGCTGACGTTCATCATGCATTAAATCTCTAATAACTTCTTCATATGTAGTTGATGTTCTCTGAATTTTATCAATACCTAAATCAGACAAGTTTAAGTCACCATTATCATCATGTTGGCCAAATAAATCCATTAAAACTTTGTCTCCACATAATGCAACTCGGAGATCTTGAAATCCAATTTCTACACGATGAATATTTTTGACATAATTACCAGCCAGTTTCAGTATATCTGCTGCAATATATTCCAATACAGCAGTTGTATATAGAGCAACTTGATAATCTAATTTGTATTGTAAAATTTCTTTTTGAATTAGAATATGAATTTTATCTGTTGGTAATACAAGAGGATTTTTTTTTTTATTTTTTTCTAAAGCTTCTTTTGCATCTCTTATAGCCCATTTGTCAATAGGTTTTGGAAAAGACCGTTTTACTTGATCTTCAATATCTTGTACAGTATGAGGTGAAGAAGAACGTAAAGTTAATATTTCAAGGCATTGTATTACAAGCATTTCTACATATTCCAATGCTTCATCGCTTGCTTTTAACGAAGGATGTACTTGTTCGGTGACTTTTTTCAGAGATCCAATTAACAACCCTTTCCATTTTGCTGGATTACACTGTATATTTATGCACTTTTCAATTTCCGCCTTGGTTAGCGAAAGTGAGACCATTTGATAATAAGGATAAAAATAATATATTAAATTTAAATGTATAGAAAAAAAAAATTAATAATAATTGAATCGTAAATAACACTCATTATTTATATTGTGTTATCAAAGTTTGTTATCACTATATTCAGTGTGGTATACATTAAAAAAATTTAACTCATAATATCTCCAAAATAATATTCCAATCATAGTACAATGCTGTATAATTCATATGAAAAATAACCATTAATTTAATTCTACAATAATAAATATATATATATATATATATATTTTAATAATATTTATTATATATATAAATATTTATTAAATTTTTACAGGGCCAAAAATCTTAATTTTGGAGTGGGATCATATACAAACTTGTCGAATTAATACTCGTTATATAATTGTAATAAGCCAAAAAAAAATTTTAATTGCTTAATTTAAATTAATAATAATATTTAGTTTTTAAACAAAATTCAATAAAAAAACAAACTCTATTGTTATTTTTTAAAGAAAAAAGACATTTTTCTTTTAATAATAATCTTATAAAAAGAAATTACAATTTAGCCAAAAACGAGAAAATGCTGGCCACATGAGCAAGAAATGATTTGCTTGAGAGCTTTTCGTATAAATATTAAAGTGACTTAGAAATAAATATAACAAGTTGTCTATATTATGTCAGATTTTCAATATCATAAAATCAATATATATTACAAAACAGTAATTAAATAAAAAAAACGTATTTGACTAGTATTACCCCAACACAAAGGTAATGCTAAATGTCTATTGAAATATATAGGAAATTCAATTTTAGTATAATAAAATTACACAAATAAATAAAAATTCAATATTGTGAATGCATAGCCCTTTTAATAGTACATCAATTTAATTAATATTTATATTATAATTTAGGATTTTTGGAAATGAAACATTAATATGTTAATTACATTATGTCAATGTTACAAGTTTATTAAATATAAATTTATTTTGTTAAATAAATTAAAAATAATAATATATCAGGCGCCTATTCAGGATCAATATAGGGATAGTAATAGACAAAATTTGTAATAGTTGTTAAATTATATACATTGTATCTATACCCAATTTAAAATTTCGGAGTGTTAGAACTCCTAAGACTTTATTACTCCTTTAGTATAGTCTTGACTTAAAATCAACCTATTCCAATAAGTGGAACCATTCATCATCATTTTTAATACAATAATTAATTCTTTGCATAACTATTTATACACATACATTTATGTCGGAAAAAAATGTGATAGAAATTTTTACAATTAAAATCAAGACTAATAATTTAATGACATCTGTAGTCCAAGTATACAAAACACTGATTTATTATTTTTAATAACTATTACTTTTTTGTTGCTGTAGCAATGTGTCGTTTGTTGAAAATTTATTACGCCATGATGAACGATCTCTGCGATGATTATTCGACTTAATGAGAGGCATGACGTAAATCATGCCTCATCACTTTATTGAAAATTCGAAATATTAATTTTTTTTGCAAGGAATTCTAAAGGACAAATGTACATAAATATTTAGACCGGGATCAGTATTTTTGTGACAAATTAATAAATGATACTATAGATTTACATGGAATAATGTATGGGATCATATGTGAACGTCCCATTAAGAGATTTTTAAGAGATCGCCAACATTATTCATTCAAGTGACGATTCTCATTAATTCCTGGTATTGACAGTTTATTGTAATTTGATTTTTCACCACCTACTCTTAAACAAATTTATGTTTTTGTGTTGATCAATTAATTTATTTGTCAAGATTGTTAGAAAGTTTTTTTTAAGTTAATCATAGATTATGTATAATATTAAATTGGTTTCAGGCAAATTACAGTGGCGCGCACAGGAATTTTTCATGTGGGGGATGATAAAATAACAAAACTTTTTAATATTCTAAAAACATGATTATAAAAACTCTTGAATACTTAATGAAAAATACTTTTCAATTAGATCAATCTAGATTATTTTTTTAAGTTCTGGAAACGACACTGCTTATCCCCCTTAATTGCACAACAGTCATACTAAATTAAATAAAGATTACAATCCCATATTTTACACAAAAACGAAATACAATAAATAGTTAAACAAATTTTTTGTTTCAATATTTAGTAGTTAACATCACAATTATTACATGGAAAAATTGTATTATTTACAATTACATAATGATCATTGTTTTAAAGTTTTAAAAATAAGAAAAAATGTACTTATTAAAATAATTCTCTTATATCACTTGGCATTACTTATCTTTTTATTATAATTTAGCCATATCTTATAAAATACCACAATACACTTGTACAACATATACAATAAATAATAACAACAAAAAAGTTGTTTAAATATAAAATTTTAAACTGTATAATATTCTTGAAATTTATTTAATTTCCAAAGAAATAAAAATGTGTCCATAAAAACAAAATGTATGTAAAACAAACATATACAAGATATAAATGTTGATAACACATGGAAATAACAAAACATACAATAATAAAATTTACAATTTTTATAATTTACATCATGAAAGCAAATTTTGTTTTTAATTTTAACACGAATACACAATTAATCAATTGATAATAAAGAAATAATTTATTGTTTTACAATAAAAACAAATAACTTTTTACAGACCAGTCAAAATTTACAGATACTGTATTTAATAATTATTATTGCTTATAAACTATGAAATAAAAAAATATATAATATTAATATATAAATATACGTAAACATAATTTTTTTGTACCGCATAACTGGTAATAAATAAGAACAAAATATTTATTTTATAATTTATATATTATTAAATAAATAAAATACTTAAAATAAAAAATAAATGTATAATTTATACATAGTAAAATAAAAATAACGGTGATTCAATTAAAAATAATAAAGCATTTTAAAAACTAAAATAAAAAAAGTGATTATCTAAGTAGTAACAAATTCTGTGCGAACAGTATAACAAAAATTCATTTCAGAAGTATTTGCGACAAACATCTCCCATACGTTCGACTCAATAAAACAATAATTATTATAATAAATTTTAAAAACTAACAAATAGGTAATTAAAAGTCTTAAAATAATTTCCATGCAACATTTAAAAACTTAATTAAAACATAGTAAAAAAAATCAAAACAGAGCAGTAAATGTGTGAAACACATTTTACTGCTATTCCCGAAATCATATTAAAATAGGTACAAGCACCAAATTTTAGTGTTAGGAAATGAGTTCGGGTTATTTGAGTTGAAAAACGAGTCTCTAAGTTTAATATTTATAACGAGATAAAAAATATTATAATGTCTAAAATGACACAGCCATATTTTGTTTTTAAAACTATTAGTAATTAAAAAAATATATCGCTCACAGCCAACAATAATTTAGGTATTCACTTTGGTCTTCGAATAAAACGCAGTACTAAATAACCCAACATTCTGAACACGATAAGAAAGGCAAATAAAATAATTGTATTTAGCCATAGAGGAAATGATGCTCCTTGTGCATTAACAATAGATGATGCTGGTATGAATGTAGAATTTTGACATACCAAGTACTTGGATTGCTCTGCACATCTTCAAAATTAAAAAATAATTATTATAATTTAAGAATTTATTTATTATATTGTATACTAACATTTTATCTATAAAATATATTTATAATAGAATTAACAACTAAGGTGGGAAAAATTTCTTACCGTATAGGTTTGATATGTTGATTGATCAGATTTAATTTTTCAAGGTATATTTTATTTTTTGAACTACATTTTAGTGGCACAACTATGGGGATCCCAGGTCTTGACTATTATATACATAAAATTATTGTATTGGAGTAGTTGAGGGTGATAATCTCCCCACTACACTACATTCTAAAAGCTATTTGGACTCCCAGATAAAATTTCTAGCTGTGCTACTGCCACGTTTATAAATAACTAATGATCCTATACTAATAAAATCTGATAAATATAAATCTAACGAAATTGCATCAACAGGTTCCTTCAGTTTTATTTTAATGTTCATCGATATTAATCATAATAGGGGTGATGGGGCGCAGTGAATCATTCAATTGCTCCCTTAGCGATATTCAGCTGCGCTGTTTGCTATTAATACCAGGATAGATGAACATACAAGAATGTTAACAGTGATTAACATCTTGGCCTCTTACTGATCGCCTCAGCCATAATGAGGTTACATCAGATATACAGCTAATATTAAATTCCACCAAATTGTTAAGGCAAACTCGACCTTTAATAGTTGGAATAGAGACTATGGTCATGATTGATAATTAGTCAAGAATATTTAAATTTGTTACAAGGATCTATAATAAATTTATATCCAAATTTTTTTATCTACAATGTTTGCATTATTTTATTTACAGAAATAAATATTAGCAACACTATAAATTTATTTTATAATTTAGCGTGTTTAATACATTAAACAGTGCTTATAATTTTTATATTACTATAATAATTATAGTAATTTTTATTTTAATAATTAACAATTCTGTGATGCTCAGGTAAAAGGGCTTAATTTCAAAATTAATCATTTAACTGCCCTTTATACCACAGAAAAGAGTAACTCTTTAAAATATTATGTATTTAACCTCATTTATGCAATTTTTGTACTTAAGCCCTTTTATCCGAGCATCAAAGTATTATTGTTAATTATTACAAAAGGTATTTTTATTTTTAAAATAATAACTCTATCAGGGCAATAAAAAAATTAATTTATACCTTATGGGCTCTCCATCGCCAAATTCGACAATTTGCATATTTTGGTACGCATAATGTACCATACTAAGATACTGCATCCATTGTAACCAGCTAGGTATATTGGTTGCTAAATAACCACCAAATAGCTGTGTTGCTAAGGTATAAAGTGCACTTATGGTAATTGAAACTTGCATATCCATACAAAATGCTCCAACAAAGAATCCCACACTCTAAAATAAACATTAAAATAAATCTCTACATAGTTTAAAATATAAAAATTTGAATACCTGAGCAACAATAGTATTTAACAGAAGAAACAGTAAAAGAATGAAGAATGTACTAAAGCTGTGCATGCCAAGCATTGGGTAAGAGATCAAATGATAGACAGCTGGCAGAGTTATTGTTAATGGCAATTCACCGACCATTTTTGCCAAATAATATGCACTAAGACGATATGCTCCACTTTGTCTTTCTTTATTTATAACTTCTCGCTCGGGAGGAACTATAAAACATCAAAATAGTATTTTTAGTTAAATTCTGTCATAATTATTTTTAAAATAGTATAATAAAAATGATTTATTACAAGATGATAATGTTCCAAAGTGAGCAAATAACATCCAATAAGTAGTAGAAAAAAACATCCAACCCTGAATATTATGTAACGATTGTTCTGTACGAGGAAGTTGAAACCATAGCAAGCCAGCTAAAAGGCCAAGTGCCACAGTTTGCACCCAATTTAATGTACTTAACATACGTGGACGGGCTTCTTGAAAATTTCTCTGACTTAAAACCTTAAAATAAATAAATAAATAAATAAATACTATGTTTTATGATTTCATTTTAAAACATGATGTTACTATTATTTTATATATTATTACTTTAAATTGAGTCCAAAAACTAGTTGGCCATTGCCAAGTAAAATCTTCATCAGATGTTGATGTAGAAGAATGACTTTGACTATCCAACCATAAAGTTCTTGCTTCATCTTCAGTAACTAAAAATGATTAAGAATACTTAAGAAGCTCTTATTTAAATATAATAAAGAATAGTTTAAAGTTACACACCTGTAATGGCAGTATAACATTTTTCATTGCTATCAGTAGATGAATCACTAAAAGCTGTACAAATGTGCCCATTGGTTGTATTTAATGGCCATTGGCAATTATAATTATCTAAAAAAATAAAAAAAACAATATTAATGAACTAAATATTTTACTTCAAATAACTAATGGATTTAACCTATTTCCATCATTACTTACTTATCAGTAAGAATTCTTTTCAAGTTGACAGGATAAAAAAATTAAAAATTATTAAATGATAAAATATTTAATTTCTTACCATTACTATGATTATGATTATGACAATAATTATTCAAATATTTGTCACAAGAACAACTTAAGTGTAGTAACTCTTGGTTATAATAATCTTCTTTAGCTCTTTTTGAAGCCGCTATTATTTTTTCCTTCATTTCTTCTGTTCCTTTAACTTGTTCCACTAAAAATAAGAATATAAACATTAAGAAACATATTATAATTATTATAATTATTATTATCTCAATTGAAAAATAATTACAAATGAAATCAGCAGGGTTATAATGAGGTGCTATTGTCATTCCAATATCACTAAAAAAGTTGACAACTTTACTAATATCTCCGAAATAAGCAGTCTAAAAAAATTTAATTATAATTAGTTAAATATATCATGAGTTTAATAATAGAAGTCAAATATTCAAAATGTATGTACAACATACTTGTCCATTACAGATCAACAGCAATTTGTCAAACATGTGAAATATTTGAGATGATGGTTGGTGAACAGTGACAACAATAGTTTTTCCTTCTTTTTCTGCATATTTTTTTAGAGATGACATTAGGCTATAAGCTGAATGGGAATCGAGTCCAGTAGTAGGCTCCTACAAATGTTAAATAGATATTCAGTAATTTATAAGAAAATAATAAAGTAGAATAGTATATTTAATTTTATACTTAACGACACCTACATCAAGAAGCATTAAAGCAGGGTTAGTTAAGAGTTCACAAGCAATGTTAGCTCGTTTTTTTTCGCCACCAGATAGTCCACGTTTCATATAGTCTCCAATAACTAAAAAATATGAAATTTATCTGAGTACATTATTTGAAATTTAACTATATATACTCATTAAATATATACACATAATAATTTTATAATTAATTTTCCTTTTGATAGTTAAGTTCATTTTTAAACATTTAATTTTACGAGATACTATGATTATATTTAGAGTTGAATTTATAACATTGTGTGTTGAATCATGTAAAAAAAAAAAATTAAAATTAAAGCTTATTTTAATTAGTAAATTTAATATAATAAATTGTTTATCAAATTTCAATATTAAAAAGTTAACAGATCAATTTAATACTATTCGGACAAATAAATAGAAAATATTAAATAGTTTAAAAATGTCAAACCACTATAAAGTTAATTTCAAGTATAACTCATAAGATATTGGTAAATTTTGGAAGAGATTAAAAGATCCTTGACTTCTTAAAAATATACATATCTAGGGACCTAATCATAAACTGATTAAGCAGCTTAGGTTCTCTATTTTTTTTTGTTTTTGACTAATTATACTTATANTGATAAGTAATAATTGCCTTATCTAATTTCTTATCATGGTATTTATGCCAAGTTTGTAATGTATACACACTATCATCATATGTATACACAGTAATCATGAAAAGATAGCGTTTTCTTCTGTCCTTTTCTCAATACGTATTTCAATGTTTATAACCGTAAAATAGTACATGAAAATTCAAATTTTTACAAACTTCAAAACGCTACAGAATATTTACTACTGAATATTAATAAGATATTTTTTTACTAAAATTTTTCTTAAATTCTACTCTAAAAAATAGTTATCTTAGATTTTTTTTTTACTTTTTATTTAAAATTTTAAAATAATTAATATTTTTAATAAAATGTAAAAAAATTAATTATTGAGATATAGCTATAGACCTAACGTCTAACTAATATTTAAAAAAAAAATCAACTAAAAATATTAACTGGATCAAAAGTTATTTAAGTTGTCAGTGAGTGGTGGGCCACCCTGTATATATAATAATATACAATTAATAGTTACTACGATTAAAATAAAGTTTACTAGTTTTAAAATACTATTTATGTAATTTAAAAAGAGAGATATAAAGAATAGATTATTACTTTTTAAAGAAAAAACAGTTCCATCAATCGGTAACAAAGTATTATCATACTAAGAGAGTTCGTTTAACATTAGTATAAGTATATATGTAATTAAGTAACCTTGGCTAACCTTTATAAGAGATTAACGTATGTTATATTTATTATTAATTCATATATATATATATATATTTATTGTATTATGATGTGGTTTATTTCGTGAGGATTATGCAATCGAACCTATACTATGGCAAACAAAGAGGTATTAAACTTTAGCCGCATTATTTTAAACACTATTCGGATGCCATTTCGTTTTATCGTTTTACTGACAGTACTTCATGACTCATCTTACAACGAACTTAAATGTTTTCTTAAAAATACTTCGTTAAATACTAAAATTTTCTTAACCAAACTTTAACATAAATTTTTCCTTTACTTAAATAACCACTACTTAAAGAATTCGATAATAAACTAATTAAAATATTAAAAGTTTACATACTTGTATCTTGGCAGTTGTTAAGGTCGAGAACGTCTATGATATGATCAACATATTGCATTTTCTGATTTCGAGATAACGAATCGGGTAGCCTCAGAAGAGCGGCATACTATTTAAACGAATTAAAACATTTATTAATAATTTTCAGTAGTTTAAAAATATCTTATTATTATATAGTAATTAATCAAAATAGAAGGTCATTGAATTTTTAAACATTTTATGATAAATAAGAGAAGCATAATGTAGAATAAGGAGGGGTTGAGTGAACACATAAAATTGGGTGGGTATCGATTCATAAATATATGAACATAAATTTGTTAAAGCTGAAAAATCGAATTTTGGCTTATGTTAGTTAATTTGACTATTGCTCATCGCATCATATTTTGGTAATTAATGGCAACAAAGAAAAAATGTGTTGACTCGAAAATATTTGCTACTTATATGTAAGTAACTTGTATAGGAATTTAGGAGATTATTTACTCATCTAAGCTCCTTCTAAAATACAGCTTTTTAACTGACCTAATATACTACTATAGTATCAAACAGAGTTTAATTCATTGGTGTAATTTTAGTGGAATAGTAGTCAGTATTAGAACTGAAAAAAGGGTAAAACGTCACAAGAATTATTATATAAATTAAAGGTAAAAAGGTAAAAAGAAACTTGTGCCAAAACTACGTTAAAAATTTTTCTGATAAAAAGTAATAAAATAAAATTATTAAAAAATTATACATACTTCAAGGGTTTGCCTCAGAGTCAGGTCGGGGAAAAAAATATCTTGTTGCAATACATAACATATACGTCTCTTACAACGCTTGTTCAAACGCTCACGATTGAGGTGAATACATCCGGAGTCCAATTTGGTTCGGCCCGCCAGGCAGTTGAGAAGTGTAGTTTTTCCACATCCTATGCAAATAAAATTTCGATTACTACATTATTGATAACAATAGATGAATGTTCACTAAGTAAAGACATGAGTAAATTGCACCATCGATGAAAACGGTAAAAAATGTTTTCATTGCATTTAAACACCTATTTACTTCTTAAACGCTAGCTCATTTTTGAAATATTTTTTGTAGCTACGAATTTAGTGTAAATATTCAAAATCGAGTTTTATACAATTAGTTTTATATAAATAGTGACTATTAAAAATAAAAATGTTGAAAATACAAGAAAATTATTTTGAATTTCAGAGTAGGGACAAAGTTACCACACAATATATTGTATAGAAGCTAAAACACGAACTATTGGAATCAAAATAAAATTACATAAAACAAATTAATAACTCAAATAAATTAATAGAAATTACAATATTAAAAATTAGACGTCCTTCAATTACATAATAACAATAAACGTGAAATTAAAACATTTAAATGCATTAAGTTTTTTATTAAAAGTGTCATTGGTAATAAATAATACACAGTGAATACCGGATTCGTGTGATTCGGGACATAAACCGTCCAGCACGAGTATTACAAGAACTCTTTCAAATTTTCTACACGTGTATAGATTCAAGTTCGAAGGGAAATCTCAAGGTTGTCAATTCATGGTGATTTACATATGGGAGAATCAACTCGAGTCATTTACTAATTGGACCATGAATTTTCGTGTCACGGAGAATTAATTATATTAGTTATTCTCGCGTGGACAAAGATCAATAAAATATTGTTTTTGAATTTAGTTATTTATGCAATATCGACCGAGCAGGGTAATCTAGTTATGCCATTTAAATATCATGTAACCGGATCAAGTTGAAATCGATTTCATCTGTATTTATCATACTAGAATATCAATTAATACCTGTTATTTTTTTTTTATAAATATGAACATTGAAATAACATGTCAGATTTTGTTACACTTTTTAGACAAGCATATTGATGCGGGCATATGACTTTTCAATAATTATTGCGCTTCAAGAAAGTTATCTATTTCATTTAATGACACGAACCTGAGGGTCCCATGACGGCCAACACTTCTCCGGGTTTCACAAGTCCACTGACGTCTTTGAGTACTTGTCTCTTGTTGTCCAATGTCACCGTCAGGTTGGTAAAAGTCAACTCGATCGGCCGATGAGCCGGTAGTGGATGCATACATCCCGGTGGTTCTTGCACGTTCACGCCATTCTCCAAT